TTTCTGGTCTTACATTTAGATCTTTAATCCATTTTGAGTTTATTTTTGTGTATGGTGTTAGAAAGTGTTCTAGTTTCATTCTTTTACAGGTGGTTGACCAGTTTTCCCAGCACCACTTGTTAAAGAGGTTATCTTTTTTCCATTGTATATCCTTGCCTCCTTTGTCGAAGATAAGGTGACCATAGGTTCGTGGACTTATCTCTGGGCTTTCTATTCTGTTCCATTGATCTATATTTCTGTCTTTGTGGATAGGGCATTTTTTAATCTGAAATTCAAAATTGTTTTTTCCTCTACAAAATAGGGAGCCACTGATCACTAAGGACAAGAAAATATAGTTAACTCATCCAACACCGGTTTGAACTGCATGAATCCACTTCACACGGGAATTTTTCCCTAAATACGTGTTACAATACTATACAATCCATGTGTCAACAGCTGGCTGAATCCATGGATGCAGACATGGAAGGCCAACTGTAAAGTTATACATGAATTTTCCACTGTGCAGAGTTAGAACCCCAAACTCTCACTGCATTGTTCAAGTATCAATTGTTTAAGAAAGTAAAATCAACAGTGGTTACTCAAGGGCATACTTACTTCTCTTAATTTTCACCAAGCCTTAAGGTAGTGTTTTCTAATCTTTTTCATCATTTAGAGAACTTGATGAAAGTCATGGATCCACTTCCTAGAAAATACACACACACATGTAGTTTTGTGTACAATATCAAAAAATTTATAAAATCTCCAAATCCATCCATGTGACCCTCTAGAACTGTTGATGGGAGCCACTACCTAGTGGGTCTTAGCAACATGAGCTGCATTTTAAGTGCTCAGCAGCCACCATCACAGGAAGTTCTATTGTAGTTGGAACTGCTGCTCTAGAATTTCATGGACCCTATGTTGAGAACTCCTGCCCCAAATGAACCCATGTAATTCTGTTGGCCTGTAACCCCACTCCCCATCAAGTTGCTCTTTGACTATAAAATACCATCCATAAAAGCTATTTTTCTGTTGGACTATAGATAGACCTCAAAGAAATGGAGGAATACTATTAGTAATTGTGAATAACTGAAAATCTCTCTAGCTTTAAGTACCCATTAATAACCTAAAATCAAAGGGAACTTAGATAGCAAATGGTTCATCATTCTTTTTGTTTTGATTTGGGGTTTTTTTTGGCTGCACCATGAGGATTGCAGGATCTTATTTCCCTGATCAGGGATTGAACCTGTAGGAGTCTTCACAGTGGGGTCACCAGAGAAGCCCCTCATCCTTCATTCTTACCATCTCAAGGTATGTGTAGTTTGCAGCATTACTGTGCCCCACATCCTGTAATAATAATCCTAGTGGCTTTTCTATAACATAGGGTAAGCCTTCAGGAATTTGCTGTGCATTGCATGTGTGTGTTCAGTTGTGTGCAAGTCTTTGCAACTCCATGCACTGTAACCCTCTAGGTTCCTCTGTCCATGGGATTTTCCAGGCAAAAAATACTGTAGGGTTGCCATTTCCTACTCCAGGGGATCGTCCTGGCCAAGGGTTCCTCTGTCCATGGGATTTTCCAGGCAAAAAATACTGTAGGGTTGCCATTTCCTACTCCAGGGGATCATCCTGGCCAAGGGATTGAACCTGCGTCTCTTTTCTCTTTTGTATTGGCAGGTGAATTCTTTACCACTGTGCAACCTGGGAAGCTATGCATTAGTCACAGCTAATATTGAGTTCATAGTAAATGCCAGGTATGATTCTAAGCATCCCACATATTTTAGCCCATTTAATCCTCACCCAGTGTTATAAAGTGGGTATAGTATAGTATTATTCCCTCAAAACAGATGAAGGAACTGAGATTTGAGGCTTAATGAGATTGAATAAGAAATGGCAGCCCACTCCAGTATTCTTGCTTTGGAGAATCCCATGGACAGAGGAGCCTGGCAGAATAGAGTCCATGAGGCTCCAATCAGACACCACTAAGGGACTGAGCACACACCCCCACGAGATTGAATAACTTGTTTAAGATGACAGAGTAAATGCCAGAGAAGTGGTTTTTAGGTTAGAATCTATTGTCTCCTGAAATATGAATGTCTAAAACATGGGAGGAAGAAGTCTTAGAGTCTGACTCTGATTCTGAAAGGGACCTATACCAGCCTGTGTGCCAGGAGGCCTCTGGGTCTGCATCTGCCACAGCGGTTTGTGGATCTCTTCTCTGGAGTAGAACAACAACAAAACAAATTCTCTGGACTTTTTCCATCGTGTCGTTGAAAGCTGACCCTCTCTGTCCCCACATCCCCTTTCTGGTCACGGCAGCCTGAACTTTAACGACAGACTAAAGTGTGATTCTGGGCAAGTGACTTAACTGACACTGTACATGGGGATGATAATAACAGCGTCTAGTTCCTACAATTTTGTGTGCCATGAGAATACAGATGCATGTCAGCACGGGCTCAATAAACGATTACTGTTTTTCACGATTCAACCCCACGACCCTTTAATCGGCTGAGACCACAAGCCTAACCCTCGCTGGAGGCAATGGACTAGCTGAGCCGGTCTGGGCCGTGGACACCTGCCTCACTGCTGGGCAGCCCTTCCCATCAGCAGCACAAAGTCTGGACTGCACCGGCCAAGAAATCAACCTTCCTTTCACCTCTCATTGTGAAAATTCCGGTGGACCTACAAGGGAGGTGAACAGCGACCTGGCCCCGAAGGGCTGGACAATGCAAAAGGCACGCCCCCGACAAGTTTAAAATGAGAAGCCAGTGCGGGCTGGTCCCGACCGGCCCTGAGAAACGTCCAGCCGCCAGCGGTGGGACCCTGGGCTGACTGGAGAGCGCCATGGGACACAAGAACACTCCCCACGACTGCGCCCGCGCCGGGCTCCATAGCGCCAGCACCTCCAGGGCGCAGGCGCGGGCCCCGCCGCCCCGTCGACCGCGTCTCCCTGCGAGCTCTGCGGCGGCGCTGACCCGGCCGGGGCCACTCTTCCTCGCCTCTCCCAAGCGCCGAGCGGGCGGTCGAGTGAACCGTGGCTCAAATGGCCTCCGAGGCTACCTGGGCAGGTGAGCCCTCTCCTGCAGCTCCCTTAAGTTAGGGGGTGAGGGCCGCCTTGAAATCCGTTTTGACGAGGGCAGTGATTCTCAAAACTTGTCTGTGGGGGAAGAATTTCTCCACAGATTTTCGGGCCCACCCCGACACTCAAAAGCAAGGGGTCTCGCGTGACTCGAAGGTCTGCACTTAAGCTTTCCGAGGAATACTGACCCCGATAGCCCGCCGGTCTACCCCTTGCACCCGATATACGCTTAATTCCCACTAACCGACCTAGCGATCTCGCTCCTAAGGTTTCTGAGATCTCGGGCTCGCGCGTCGGTCCCGCCTCCCTACCTCAATTGGCCCCTCCTTCGTCCCGCCCCCACAGGCAAATATTTTCTTCTGACTGGTCAGCGGTAAGTGTGTGGCGAAACCTGATCCAATCAATGGGCGCTAGAGTTCTCAGAACGTAATCCGGAAGTTGGTCCTGAGCAGTTCCGATTGGTTGTTGATGCCTAACGCGCGTTGAAACTTCCGGCGTGGGTGCGGAGCGCGGAGTCCTCTAAGGTGAAAGGAGTGGAGCTCAGGTCCTGTTCTAGGGCGGTCTTGGCGGGGGCGGGCCAAGGGGCGGTGCGGCGGCGCCCGCGAGCAACTGAGGCTGAGGCGCAGGAGCCGTTTGCGCCCGGGCTGGAGCTAGCTTTCTCGGTCAGGGTTTGGAGCTCTGGGCCACCTGGCTGTTGCGGACTCCAGCCATCCTTGCGCTGGGCCCGGGGCGTCTTCTTTGGCGTGCGCAGCTGGTTTCGCGGCCAAGGCGGTTTGGGGGCCTGAAGATGGCGTCGGGTCCGGGCTTCCAGGACCGGGAAGGGCTCCTCATAGTGAAACTGGAGGAGGACAGCGCCTGGAGCCAGGAGCTGCCCCAGCCAGACCCAGGTCCCAGCCCGGAGGCCTCTCACCTGCGCTTCAGACGGTTCCGCTTTCAAGAGGCCGCTGGGCCCCGGGAGGCCCTCAGCCGGCTCCAGGAGCTTTGCCACGGGTGGCTCCAGCCGGAGATGCGCACCAAGGAGCAGATCCTGGAGCTGTTGGTGCTGGAGCAGTTCCTGACTATCCTGCCCCGAGAGATCCAGAGCAGGGTGCAGGAGCTGCACCCGGAGAGCGGCGAGGAAGCGGTGACTCTCGTTGAAGATATGCAGAAAGAACTTGGGAGGCTGAGACAGAAGGTAAGATAAAAGAGCTGTTTTATATGCGGTTTGTTTGACCCCAGTTGCCCATACGAGTTTACTTGGTTGCCCTGAGTAGATCTTAGATGGGCAAGAAGCCTTTTTGTAGATTAGTGAGGAACTTTCATTCTCCAGATTTGCCCCAAGTTGACAAACAGTTAAGAGTGCCCTGTTTCCACCTGGAGCAGTGTGTCTGCGTTAGAGTGAGCCCAGGAGTTAGCTTGCCAGGTTCAGATCCTCCCTCTGCTTCACACTAGCTTTGGGACTTTGGGCAAGTTACTTAATTTCTTCTGGTCTCAGATCTGCCGCTGGTAAAATGAAAATGTTAAAATACCTCTCTGAGGTGGTTTTGAGGATTAGAGAGAGAGCAGCATGTAGTTTGATCACTCTCTTGGCTTAGAGTTAGTGCTTAATAGCTGTTAGCTATTGTTACATTACAGTCTGAAGTCTAATCTTTACAAAGCTGGGTGGCAGTTAATAGTGGAATTTAAAAAGTTTGCAGCTGAAGCTCTGAGGCCATATGCCCCAGAGCCACCCAGATTTACCTTATCCAGTAGTGAGGAGTGGATGCATCTAGAAGAGGTGGGTGAAAGCGAGTGAGGTGGGTCAGGAGCTGAGTGGGGAAGGTGTGCCCTGGGAGTGAAATCCCCCCAACCCCACTCCTCACACACATTTTCTGAGGTGTACACAGGTTCAGAAAAGTTTGGTTTTAGTGTAACTCATTCTTCTCTCGCTGGGTCTAAAGGGTTTGCCATCGGTTCTCTGTTGAAGGCTTGCCCTCAGAAATCTGTATTAATGTCCCTTCCTTTTGGGCCCTGTTGTGATGATGAGTGATGTGGGTTGGTTCCCAGGTCACAAACCGTGGGCAGGGAACAGAAGTGCTTTTGGAGGAGCCTTTGCCTCTGGAAACAGCACAAGAGTCACCGAGCTTCAAGCTGGAGCCCATGGAGACTGAGCGAAGCCCTGGCCGCAGGCTGCAGGAGCTGCTAGGCCCCGGCCCCAAAAGGGACCCTCAGACTGTAAAGGAGAGGGGTGAGGAACAGTTATTTGGGCAAGTGGGAGGGAGGAGGGGCTTTGGGGTTGCCCCTGACACTGGCAGGATGCAGTCTCACTGCCAAGGAGGGAGCGTTTCTGACCTGAGGGTCCCCAGATGTGGAGTAGAAGATCTAGAAGTGGTTTGGATTCCTCTTGGGGTGGGTGAAGGGAGGGGGATCTCTTAGGAAGTCTTTTTGTATGCTGAAGAGAGACTTTTAGAGCTCAGTGAATGAGGGCTTGAATGCTTGGGCCAGCAGGAAAGACTGCTGGTACTCTGTTGTTTTGGATGTCGTGTTATTATCCCTCCATTGCTTTCTGTTCAGTGTTGGGTCCTGCTAGCAGAGTCTGGGTGTCAGGGCACAGTGGACACTGTGTTGTGATAATCCTTGGGTTGCCAAGATTTAAGAATGCCATTCTCATCATCATTTCTGTCACCTTCAGCATTATCTGCTCCCTGGCTTTCTCTCTTTCCTCCCGAAGGAAACATGGAAGACAAAGAGCTGACTGGGCCCCAGGTGATGTGGAAGTTCTCATTGTCTACCCCCAGTTGTTCTTGTGGGGGTGGGGTCCTTTTGCCACTTAGAGAGGATCCTTACTACCTCACCACATGCACGTCCCCACCTTCTTTGTCTCCTCCACACTTCACTTGTAGGCCTAACACCCTTCTTCCCCGTGAAATGAGTCCTTGGCACCCCTGGGTTTTGCCCTTTAACCTGTGACTCTGCTTGAATTGTTCTTGGTGCCTTAGGGCCTAAAGGTGATCTTGTGCTATTTCAGTTGCCTGAGAGCTTAGAGGACGTGGCTATGTACATCTCCCAGGAGGAGTGGGGGCGTCAGCATCCTAGTAAGAGGGCCCTCTCCCGGGACACGGTGCAGGAGAGTTATGAGAATGTGGACTCACTGGGTAAGGACTTCTTTTCCAAGGATGAAGACTGAGCCATTTCTGACCAGGGTGCTGTCCCTTAGCCACTCCCCTCCTGGGTGTTAAGTTCTGAGTTTGGCCAGGAGACCTGCCTTTGCCTAAAGTCCCTTGGACTAAGATCAGTTAAATATTTGCCAGGTGCCACAGTTGGCACACTTAAGGGCCCCAGCTGCCAGAGATGAGGGCAGGGAGTCAGCCATGATGAACTTACCAGGGCAGAACAAGTCAAATCCAGTGATGCTCACCACCACCCCTATCCCCACTTCCCACGCATCACCCACAGAATACTGTGGGGCTCCAAGTTCCTGATGCCTTGCAATTTTTTTTTTTTTTTTTTTGCCTTGCAATTTTAAAATGCTTATTCTTCCGACCTTATGTTTTCTGTGCTCCATTAGTATTTCTGGGCTCTTCCCCAAAGACACAGGTTTCAGGGCACTGGCATCAACATTCCAGCTTAGTGACTGTCCCAGTCCTTGAAAATTGAGGAAGGGGGAAAGCTTTGTAGAAATTTGGAAATGATATATATTCAAAACGGGTGTAAGTAATTTAAACATAAATTAAGATGCGTCTTCATATTGAACTATTATGCAGAGATTAAAAATGAGGTCTGTAAAACAGGGCCAAAAACTGATCGTTAGATTCAGTGGAGAGTGTGTGGGTATTGTATAATTCCTTCTTCTTTTCTGCATGTATGGAAATTCTCATAATAAAAACTTGAAGGAATCTTAAAAAAAAAAAAAACAATAAAAAACAGGACTCAATATGTTACCACTCTAGCTATCTTGATGCCTACCTGGTAGAAAAGAAGTTTGGTTGCCTGCACGGGGGCCTTCTCCAGGGTCTCTGCCATTGTGCTGTGGCTTGGCACCCTAAGTTGAGCACAGTTCATTCAGTGAGTGCTAAATAAGAAGAGTTCAGATCATGATTTCTTGGGACTAACCTTTTTAAAGTCCATGTTTGATGGAGTTGGAGTGAGCATAACACAGGCTGGCTCTTTTGGGTGTAAATCTCAGAGTCCCAAGTCCTTTTCTGATTGTCCATCATATTACATTTTTTACTTCTGGATTGTCCCAACTTAGTTTCATAAGGGTCAAGACTCTTTCACAGTATTACACTTTGATTCCTCAAGGAACTGACCACTCTGACCATGTGCATTAAGAGTGTTTTAATTACAAAAGTTTTACATTGTTATTGCAAAAAGTTTCAAGTACCACACAGTGTAGGAAGAAAAAAGCCATAGTCTCCCTCATCTAATTTCTTTCTCTGGAGGTAACAGTGGGAATAGTTTAGTGTATGTTCCAAGTAATTGCTGTCAGACTTCCTGCACCTTTGTATCCATCCACTGAAGACAGGGAGCAAGACTGTCTTTGTTTCTCTTGTCTAGTTGAAGAAAGTAGTGACATAGAAATCCGTTTCTTTCATTATGGTCAGAGTCTCAGGTTCCCAGTCAGGAGGCCCTGAGCACCCAGGTGGAACATGGAGGAAGGCCCTGGCATCCAAGTGTCCAGACTTGCAAGGAAGGTCTGAGCTCCAGGACCCCAGCTCCAGGTAAGGAAAGCAGCTGAGCAGCCTGCCCAGCTAGTCTCCTGCTGTTGGGAATAAGGCATTCGAGGGTCTTGGTGTAAAGCTAGCCTGTCCCCACTGCCCACTTCCATCCCAGTGATGGCAGGCAAGGTTCCCAGGGTGCAGAGTGTAAGAAGGCATTCATTCCTGGGTTCACTTGCCCACTTTTGTCCCAGTCTTGCTCCATCATACACTTTTCCGAAAGGACAGAAGCCAGGGGCTCAGTTGGAGAGGGAGGTCAGGGCCCCCACAAGGGAATTCAAGGCTGGTTTGAGCTCTCATTCCTGAGTGATGTCCCCACACCTCATACAGCTGCCTGTCTAGAGTGAGTTACCAATATGGGGAAGATGGGAAACTGAGGGAGAGTGAGGCCTTCTGGACTTCTGACCTACAGGCAGTATCACGCATGGGATTTCATTTTCTCCTGCATAGAAATAACATGGGGGGTTGATTTCTTTTGCTCTTCCAGGGGAAGAGAAATTTGAGAACCAGGAAGAGTGTGCTCAGTCTGTTTGCCCTGAGAGCATCCACCGTCAGGTGCTGCTGGCTGGCCAGGCCAGAGGGGAGGTGCCCTGGAGTCCTGAGCAGGGAAGGCCTCGGGACAGGGCAGAAAAGCTTTGGGAGCCTCCCACAGAGGATCGACTGGAGCAGCCCTTAGTGGGGGCCACAAGTTGCAAAAAGCTGGGACGACCAAAGGAACTGCAGCCAAAGAAGCTCCACTTATGTCCCTTGTGTGGCAAAAATTTCTCTAACAACTCGAACCTGATTAGGCACCAGAGAATACATGCAGCAGAAAGACTGTGCATGGGTGTGGAGTGCGCTGAAATCTTTGGTGGGAATCCACACTTTTTATCACTACACAGAGCACACCTGGGAGAGGATGCCCATAAGTGCCTCGAGTGTGGAAAAAGCTTCAGTCAGAATACCCACCTGACTCGCCACCAGCGAACCCACACAGGTGAGAAGCCCTATCAGTGTAATGTGTGTGGAAAGAGCTTCTCTTGCAACTCCAACCTCCACAGGCACCAGAGAACACACACAGGTGAAAAGCCCTACAAGTGCCCTGAGTGTGGGGAGATCTTCGCTCACAGTTCCAACCTCCTCAGGCACCAGAGAATTCACACGGGAGAGAGACCTTATAAGTGTGCTGAGTGTGGGAAAAGTTTCTCTCGCAGTTCACACCTTGTTATTCATGAAAGAACTCATGAGAAAGAGAGGCTGTACCCCTTCTCTGAGTGTGGGGAAGCAGTGAGGGACAGCACGCTCTTTCTTACAAATCCCGGGACCCACCCCAAAGCCGAGAAGAAACTCTTCCAGTGTTTGACTTGTGGGAAAAGCTTCCGGCAGGGCATGCACCTCACCAGACACCAGAGAACACACACAGGAGAGAAACCATATAAATGTAACCTCTGTGGGGAACATTTTTCTCATAGATCCAACTTAATCAGGCACCAGAGAATTCACACGGGAGAGAAACCCTATACCTGTCACGAATGTGGGGACAGTTTCTCTCACAGCTCCAATCGGATTCGTCATCTGAGAACCCACACAGGAGAGAAACCTTATAAATGTTCTGAATGTGGAGAAAGCTTTTCTCGAAGTTCACGCCTTATGAGTCATCAGAGAACTCACACTGGATAGAAACGATGGGATTTCTTTTGGGCCCAGATAAGGTGGCCTGTTCAGAGGGGCCTGTTGTTCAGAGCTCATATTCCTTACCCATCAAGTAATTACCCTGCCGCCGCCCCCCCCCCCCCCAAGGGCAGGGTCCTACTGAGGGAAGTACGGAGGCGGCAAAGGATTAGCATAAAACTGAAAAGGAATTCTATTGGAATTAGTGAGAATAGCAAGTCTTTGAGGTGACCCGCTCAGGGTGGAATTCTCTATGAAGTACTTCCTGTCCCGGGGCACTCCTATCCCCCTCAGCATATTTAGCCAGCTTGTGATGTGGGTGCCTTATTCTGTCCTGTGTCCATCCCAACAACTTTGGGAATCCACGGACTTGCTGCTTCCTCACTTGGGACGTTCATCAGGAATATTTGAGCTCCTGAGGCCCTTGAGAGCAAAGAAGAGTGATCAGGTCTCCTGGGAAAGCAGGAGGCACCAAAATACTGGTGGTGAGTTGCAGCTTTTCTGAAGGCCTGGCTGGGAAGCTCATAGGCAGTCCAGGGCACACACCGTCCATGGCCTGACCGTATTGGTCATTGGCAGGTCCTAATGTAAGTGTCACCTCAAACAAAAAGGAACAAGAGACCTAAGGGAAACAGGAAGGCAGAATTTGCAGGTCTGCCCAGAAATAGGCAGAGGAAACTATATAAGTCTGAATTAGTTTACCCTTTTGCAGAGATCGAGTCTTCAGAAGGTTCACGAAAGATGGGTTCCTTGGGAGACTTTGAAAACATGGATCCTGGGGAAGTTAGGAATCATGCCCACCCCTGTTGAAAATATGTTTGGATGTTAATAAATATCTTCAGGAAAAATGAATGTGTGTAACTTATCATTGAGGGCCTTTGTGTTGTCTGCCATGTTGATCTGTCTGTCCACTTTGGGAGGAGGTCCTGCTTTCTCTTTCTGGTCTTGTTGCTAAGGAAGGTTCTGAAAAAGGTGATGACAGACAGGCAGAGGTAGGGAGGGTGTGGCCCTGCTGGCTGCAGGCTGAGGTTGCTATGTGGAAACAAGGGTCAAGCCCAGTGGCTGCTTCGGGTGATGTCATAAAGGTGTGCTTTAAGTTTTGTGTGTGTGTGTTTATTTTCCTCCTCTAGCGTATAGCAGTGAACATGCCTTTTGATTGTTCAGAATGTTTGTTTTCTTGCAAAGTAAAGATTTGGCTCTTCAAAAACAAGTTATTTTTGGTCTAGGAAATGGTTGCCGGGAAAAAATGCTCCTGGTATGACTGAGTTATCACCCATGAGTGGAGAGAGACTTGGGGTAGAGGGGAAAATTATTAGGGGAAAGCATTACATTTTACAATGGGGAATCAGGAATAGGAATTCGGGAGTGTGTTTCTGTGGAAAAGAGGATTCCAGAAAAATTCTAGGAGTGGGAAATGCTGATGCCAGAAAAACATTGCAGGTTTTGACCCTAGAGGAAGATACCAAATTAGCTGTTCTTCAGGAGGAAAAGATGAAATATTCCATTGGCAACAGACTTAAATATAGCACTGTTAAGTAAGGGAGGTACCCGTGCATGCTCCACACCCTTTCTTATATCTGTCTCATTACTTTCCCCTTCTTTTGAGAGCAGCGGTAGTGTGGGGCTTGGGCACCAGGGGAGGGAGGTGAGGATTTGAAAGAGATTCATGTGGGATGGATAGTGGTGGGAGCAGGTCAGGCTGCTGTGGCTCTCGATGCCATGAAATGGGTGGGTGGTATAAAGTTGATGTTACTAAGCACTCTGGTTAAGATGGTAACTTCTGTGGGTTGAAACCTCATAAAAATGGAAAGCACCCCTTTAGAACCCCACTTACCCCTGAAGCCCCATAATATCACCCATACAGATCTCATGATGAGCTCTAACTGGCATTGCTCCTACTTGGAGTACTACAGCCAGAACAAGAAGCCCCTCATGTGTTCATTCCTGGCACAAGAAGCCTTTCCAAGAGTGAAACAAGGGTCAAGCCCAGTGGCTGCTTCGGGTGATGTCACAAAGGTGTGCTTTAAGTTTTGTGTGTGTGTGTGTTTATTTTCCTCCTCTAGCGTATAGCAGTGAACATGCCTTTTGATTGTTCAGAATGTTTGTTTTCTTGCAAAGTAAAGATTTGGCTCTTCAAAAACAACTTATTTTTGGTCTAGGAAATGGTTGCCGGGAAAAAATGCTCCTGGTATGACTGAGTTATCGCCCATGAGTGGAGAGAGACTTGGGGTAGAGGGGAAAATTATTAGGGGAAAGCATTACATTTTACAATGGGGAATCAGGAATAGGAATTCAGGAGTGTGTTTCTGTGGAAAAGAGGATTCCAGAAAAATTCTAGGAGTGGGAAATGCTGATGCCAGAAAAACATTGCAGGTTTTGACCCTAGAGGAAGATAGCAAATTAGCTGTTCTTCAGGAGGAAAAGATGAAATATTCCATTGGCAACAGACTTAAATATAGCACTGTTAAGTAAGGGAGGTACCCGTGCATGCTCCACACCCTTTCTTATATCTGTCTCATTACTTTCCCCTTCTTTTGAGAGCAGCGGTAGTGTGGGGCTTGGGCACTAGGGGAGGGAGGTGAGGATTTGAAAGAGATTCATGTGGGATGGATAGTGGTGGGAGCAGGTCAGGCTGCTGTGGCTCTCGATGCCATGAAATGGGTGGGTGGTATAAAGTTGATGTTACTAAGCACTCTGGTTAAGATGGTAACTTCTGTGGGTTGAAACCTCATAAAAATGGAAAGCACCCCTTTAGAACCCCACTTACCCCTGAAGCCCCATAATATCACCCATACTGATCTCATGATGAGCTCTAACTGGCATTGCTCCTACTTGGAGTACTACAGCCAGAACAAGAAGCCCCTCATGTGTTCATTCCTGGCACAAGAAGCCTTTCCAAGAGGAGATTTCACCCAGTTCGCAGTCCAGCTCCCCTTCTAACAATATGCAGAGCTCTTGCCTTGTTTTCATAAGATGATGTCACAAAGTATTGCATGTAAAACACTTAGCACAGAGCCTGGAACATAAAATATTCATCTCTTTGTGCCACTTGTGGACATAGAAAACTGGGAAATTGCTTTTCTTCTAAGTACCTGGTACTGAGATCAATGTAAGACCAAGCTGGAGAATTCCCTGGCAGTCCAGTGGTTAGGACTCGGTGCTTTTACTGCGTGGCCTGGGTTCAATCCTTGATTGGGGAACTAAGATCCCGCAAGCCACTCGGGTGCAGCAGGGGCGGAAAAAAAAAAAAGACCACGCTGGCAGGAATATTTTGTGTGGTAGTCTACTGTTACAGGCAGGATTGATGACTTTGTCCTTGAAGTCATATTTGTGTTTTGTTTTTTCTTGTCATATTTGAAAAAGCAGTTCAGAGATCCTTACAGTAGGGTCCCATGAAGGCATTGCAAGGGAAGGTTAAGTATATATACTTTTACGTTACTCCTACTTTTACCCCACTAGTCTTCTTGGGAAAGAAACCAGAAGAGATTCCAGCTGGCTTTTTTGTAAAAAAGAAACTAACACTGTGGGCAATAAAGACCCCTGCCCCCGCAGTCCAGATGGGTACAGAGGAGACCTGGGAGATGTAGACTGACCCTGAGCAACAGTCTCACACCCTTGTAGCAAAGGTAGTGCCTGAAACCAGCAGAAAGGCTCCTGGTACCACGAATAAGCAATGTGAAAAAGCCTGGCAGAGGCCATCTAGAAGCATCAAGCCCGACAAAGGGGATAAATGCCCATAACACCAGAGACCCGACAGAGTGATAAAACAGCACTAAGTTGTTTAGTTTTTATTTCCAGGAAGAGCCATCAGCAATCACTGAGTTTTTACCCCATTCATGAAAGAACACGTTTCAGTGCAGTTAGGAGACGGAATGGTCCAGGTAAATTCAACGACACCCCCCCACGCCATCTCTGACAAACAAGTGAATGTCTTTAATTCATCACTGAAACACTTTGAGCATCCCAGAAACTTCTGCGTTAAGAAACCAAAACTGATGGCTCACCAGGATCCAAACCTGCTTCAGGGAGACAGATTTCCCCAGGTGGAAAGGATGAGAAGAGAAAATGCTAAGTTTCTGAAATGTAGGCAGTGGTAACCCACTCCAGTATTTATGCCTGGAAAATTTCAGGGACAGAAGGGGCTGGGGCTGGCAGGTTACAGTCCATGGAGTCTCAGAGTCGACGCGACTGTGCACGCTCACACACCGTACGCACGCCCGCCAGGGTGTGTTAAGGACGTAAAGAGGAAACTGTCTTTGTCTTTCCACCCCAACTGCCCCTCTAGGCAGGAAAACATTCTAAATCCTGGGTGTGGTTCCCCATCAGAGGGTGAAGCTTCTCTTGCTGTTTCCCATTCTCTTGGGAGGGGGTCCAGGTTAAGTCTGGGAACCCTGCCACAGCCACTGGAACAAGAGCGAGGAACCTGGGTTTCTCCGAGGAGCTCTCGTCTTCAGGAATGATTTCCAGCAGCCAAAACGTCAGTCCTTTCTCAGGTTTAGGCAAAAAAAAACAAACGAGGCTGCGGGTTCCACAGCTTAGCTTCTAGCGGCATCTGGGAGCTGGCGCAGCGCGCCTAGGACCACCTGTGAGCCCCACCAGCTGGTCCCTTCGAAGATGGCTCCCGAGCCGGCCCGGGAGGAGCAAGGGCTAGGGGGGCTGGGGGTGCTCGACGGCTGCGTCCCAGCAAACCTTTCCCCCTCCGCGAGAGCCTGGGGCTGCCTCGCGCAGGCAGCCCGCACCTGCCGCGCTCCGCTCGCAAGCCCTCCAGGGCCTTGCCCGGCCGCGCCCCTCCTCAGGACAGCCCTCCGCGCAGGCCCGGCCCTGGCCGCCCCGGACCTCGCCCAGTCTTCGGCTCCAACTCCTGGCGCGGGGCCGGGACGGCCGAGCAGCACAGTTTCCCTCTCCTTCCACCGCCAGCAGTTACTGGCGGCGCGACCATACTCTCCGAAGCTTCCTATTCCGCAGGTGCGCGCGCTAACCCGCGGTCCTACCCTCCCTCGTGGTCCAGCAGGAGGTGAGCTGGTATGGGTGGGCAGGTGGCAAGGGCCGTCTCAGGCAGGCAAGGGTGGGCTTAGGGGCCACGGTCCACTGGAAGCACCTCTTCAATTTTTAGTTCGCTGTCTCTGGCCACAGGATGGGGAACTGATGGGAGAGGAGACTAAGGAGGCAGGTGCAGTGTGCTGCAACCTGGACTAGGAAAGGAGCAGTAAGGACGGACAAGTGGAGACGAGGTCAGACCTTCAGGATGCAGAGCCTAAGCGAATTCAAGTGGGTCCAGGCCGTAGTCTAAACTCTTCGGATGACCTCCAGGGGCATTGAAAATCTGTCCCTGGTTTGTCTTTGCTCCTGTCTCCACTAGTCGCCCCTACGCAACCATCCAGGGACCTCGACGCTTCCCAGGGATATACATTCTGACACCAGAGAGCCTGTGCTCACTTCCCCTTTGCCCAGACTCCCTTTTTCCCTGCTTCCCCCACACTTCAAAGTCAGCTCATAAGTCACACTTGCCCGTTCCCTATTACCCAAGCACTCAAAAAGCCCTCTGGGCTCATTTTGGCTCTCACACACCCAACTGTTGCTTGTTCCTATTCCTAAATACCCAGCACAACAACGTGAAATTTGCAAAATCAATGAAAACTTTTTTCGAGGCGGGGTGCTATTCACAGGATTTGTGGGGTCTCAAATGCCGACCAGGGATTGAACCTGGGTTGTGGCAGTGAAAGTCTGGAATCCTAACCACTAGGCCACCACGGAACTCCCTCAATGAATACTTTTGAAAAGAGTATGACTGCAGGTCATATATTTGGCCACAGGATGGGGAACTGATGGGAGAGGAGACTAAGGAGGCAGGTGCAGTGTGCTGCAACCTGGACTAGGAAAGGAGCAGTAAGGAGGGACAAGTGGAGACGAGGTCAGACCTTCAGGATGCAGAGCCTACGCGAATTCAAGTGGGTCCAGGCCGTAGTCTAAACTCTCCGGATGACCTCCAGGGGCATTGAAAATCTGTCCCTGGTTTGTCTTTGCTCC